AATAATAATAATAATAATAATAATAATAATAATAATAATAATAATAATAATAATAATACTCATAGCACCCAAAACCACAACAGTCATTCAACAATAAACTAACAATCAAAACTCAAAATACTGGGTTGAAACTGACCCAGAACCGTGACAAAAATGGCCAATTATATTTTGGACCTCAAAATATTAACCCAACAAATCATGAAAAATTAGGTTTAAATTATTGTTTGTGACAGTGCATATTTCTGACAGTAGTAGTAGTCAGTAACAATATGATTGTTTTTCTAACAAAAAACAGTGTGAAGCTTAAGTTAGACTTGTGTAGCTCTCTGTATTTTATACTCATTGGTTACATATTTATTTCTTATAAAGGCTATATAGCACATAAAATACAAATTCACACATTTTATGTAACAGAAATGTTTAATTATGTGGGCTATAGAAAATAATTACGTTATAGACCATATTTATATGAAACATATACTTATGCATTAACCATATGTAACACCTGCATATTTTGCCACCCCATTTGATTTCCATGCCAGCCTGGAAAAATTTCTCTAGATCCGCCCCTGGACCTGTCCTGGACCAGCAACACCAAATCAGTGACAAAAAGAGCTCAGCAGCGACTGCATTTCAAGAGACGACTGAAGAAGGTGCACATCCCCAAACCCATCTTTAATACTTTCTACAGAGGTACCATGCAGAGCATCCTAACCCGCTGCATCACAGTCTGGTATGGAAACTGCCACGCATCCAACCGCAGAGCCCTCCAGAGGATAGTGTGGACCGCTGAGCGTGTTATTGGCAGCTCTCTACCCACTCTACAGGTTATTTACACCTCACTGGGAAAGCCACTAACATCATGGCTGACCCGCATCACCCTTCCCACCAACTGTTTACCACCGTTCCATCCAGAAGACGACTCTGCGTCATCAGGAACAGGTCGGCAAGATTGTGCAATAGCATTTTCCCCCAAAGCAGTCTGGCTCCTGAACACCAAGTGAAAATCAGGGGCAAAAGGTTTGATGGAGTGATGACTCCAAATTTAGTCTAAATCATCATCATATACGGAGGAGGTCAGGAGAGCGCTACAGCAGTGAATGTCTTCAGCCATCTTTAAAACACGGTGGATGCTCCGTCATGGTTTGGGGCCGCCTTTCAGCCAGTGGTGTTAGAAATGTTGTCAAAATGGATGCAGTTATGATGTGAACATTTTGTGCACTTAAATCTTACTGTGCTAATGACCCCTGCATCAGCACCATGTTTGGAATAGCAGTGGAGAAGACATAGATTCAATGCTGCAGAAATCCGAGCAAAGAAAGCTTCTA